GAATCCTAAGGGCTCCAAACTAGCCACTTGTCCCAGTCACCATCAAGGAAGCAATGGGTGCTGATTTACCTCACCACCCCAGGGGAGTTTAAGAAAACAAATGGCTCTTTGTGAATGGTTGGCCAAGGTCCTTCCACCTTACTCTTTCCATTTAACTCTTAAAAAAGTCTCTACAACATGAGCTTCCCCAGCTACAAGTAGGATTTTTCCTAGTTTTTTTTTCCCTTATAGTGTCACACTAAGTACATGTGTGCGTGTGTATGTGTTCGGAGTCAGGGTCTTACTATGTATCCCAAGCTGGGCTCCAACTCCCCATCTTTCTACCTCATCCTCCCAAGTTCTGGGATTATGGGTATGCACCATCACACCTTTAAGATGGGAAGATAGTCATACAAATGTGCAAAAAAGGAAAACAAGAAAGAAGATGGACCACATCCATTTGACAGGCAGGAGGGCCAAGACTCTGGAGGAAAGAGAGAAATCCACCAGTGTACTTGATGCATCAAAGAATTTAGTACAAAATTTCCATTGCTTAATTATGTTTGAGTTTTTCCTTCTAAAATAAATTCATAGACTATAAAATAATCTATATAAAAGATTTCAATCTTGAAGAGAACTGATTTTGCAAGCATGGGGGGCAAGTATCATTATACTACACACTTTAATTTCCAAATCTTATTAATCAGAATCACACTGTAACAGAGACCAAGCAAGACGCAGGGTTACAGTGCATGCCTGTAATGCCACTTACTCAGAAAGCTGAGATCTAGAGAACTGAGGTTCAAAGGCAGCATGGACAGACAAATTCAAGAGACTTATCTCTAATTAACTAGCAAAAAGCTGGAGGTTTAGCTCAAGTGGAAGAGTACCAGTCATGAATGAAAAGGCCTAAGTGAGAACTCTGAATTCAAACCCCAGTACTGGCACAAAAGAAAAAGAGAAAGAAGGATTTTCATATTTTAATTTCACTAACATTAAAATGTACAAAAGTCCACCTAATATATGCTAAAGTAACTGCTGGTTAGTGACATATTTTTGTTGTTGTTGTTGGTCGTGGGGTTTAAACTCTGGGCCTGGGCACTGTCCCTCAGCTCTTCAGCTCAAGGTGAGCACTCTACCACTTGAGTCACAGCGCCGCTTCCAGTTTTCTGGTGGTTAATTGTAGATAAGAGTCACATGGACTTTCCTGCCTGGGCTGGCTTTGAACTGTGATCCTCTGATCTCAGCCTCCTGAGTAGCCAGGATTATAGGCATGAGCCACCAGACCTGGTACAACATAAAATTTTAAAGAGATTCTGACCCCCAAAGGACAATGGCAATGAAGACATAAAACATGAATCATCAAATTGATTAAAATTACTGAACTTATTAATCTTATTAATCAGATAAGTTTAAAAATCCATTTAAAAATTCATTAAGAAAATATCCATTTCTTTATTCATTGTATTCTGTCAAAGGAAAAAGGCTGCCACCCTCTCCCATCTCCGGCCTTCTAAGGGGCCAATGTTAAGAAGCAGAGAAGGAATAGGAAATGCGGAATTCTATCCCTGGCCACCCTGCTGGGGGAGCACAGCAAGCCCAGTGACTGGCGTGAGCGCTAATCCGTGCAACAGGATTAGACTCATGATTCCTAGTCACCTTCCACTCTGCAATCAACATCCAAATCTTTTCACTTTATGACTTCTTTGGAGATCTGTCTCACTAGTGGTAGAGTGCTAGCCTTGAGCTGAAGAGCTGAAGAACAGTGCCCAGGCCGAGTTCAAGCCTCACGACGGACAAAAAAAAAACAAAACACTGCCATGATTATCCCGGAATGGCCGCACATGCCTGTCATGACAGGCGAGTGCTCTACCACTCGAGCCACAGCGCCACTTCCCATTTTCTGAGTGGAGATAAGAGTCTCATGGACTTCCCTGCCTGGGCTAGCTTTGAGCCACAATCCTCAGATCTCAGCCTCCCGAGTAGCTAGGATTACAGGCATGAGACACCAATGCCCAGCTAATCATAGCATCTTTAAATGCTGTACTTAACTGGAACATTAAACAAAAAGGGCTGTACTATTAAAGAATGGATGTTCTGCCCCTGAGCTCCATCTCCTGTATCTCCTCAATTCAAACAGGCCACAGATGTCCATCACCACCTCCACACTGGAGCTATGATGTGTTCTTAGTCACTGATGGTTTTCATGTGTGGCATTTTGAAGAAGGTGTAAAAGATGAGCATCTCATTCCCTCTGGGCTTTCAGCTTCCACCTCCTGTGCCCCTTGGCACCTGAGACCTCCCACCTGCTTACAGGGATGCCTACTTGGTGCCATTGCTTTCATCCATAGGCGTGTTCAACTAGTTGAACGGAGGCTTTGAGCTGATGCACTGCAGTTCTGCAGCTGCCCTGGCTGGGCATCTGTTTTCCCTGTCCAGCCATGTCTTCCTAACACTGAGTACCATCACCTGGCCTCCTAAACTCATGGTTCAATTCCCAGGAAGAGGCTCCAAGTGCTAAAGAACTCACACTGCTCTCCTATCAGAGTTAATTCTGAGATAAAGCCCACTGCAGAGAAGAAAAATGTAAGAACTTTTAAAAAGATATAGGACACTCATCTCTTGTAAAATGGATATAAAATAGTCAAAGCAGACAGAGATCTTGAGATCCTGATGGATTAAGCATTAAAAAGTTAGGAGTATCCAGTAGTTTTTCTTGTAGAATTCACCTTAAGGAATACTATATTAGAAAGACAGTATATTAATACTTGCTATCCAGAAGTTTAAATAACTTTCCATATGCATGTACATTTATACTTATGCATGTACATGTGCACACACGTGTATATTGTCATATGATGCATACATGTGTATACAGATTCACACAATTTTTCATTAAAGTTTTCTTCAATTTATTCCTGACTACAAAATTTCTTTTTTTTTTTTAATTCAGTAGTTTGCTTGCCTTAAAGAAATTAGGAATGTTTTTGGTATCACTGGGATTTGCAATCCTAGGCAGGCACTCTACTGTTGAGCCATTTTCCGCAGAAAATGTTCTGCCAGCTCTTTAACTGGCAGATAATGAAAGTTAAGCAAATATAAAATACCGTGAGTTTTGATCACTTAGAAAATTATAGTGAATAAATGTTATACAATAGGAATTTCAAAATTTTGTAACTACTGAAAACATATACTTTTCCTGGCAGCTAGGGTCTATTATGCAATAAAAGAAAGAGAGAAAGAGAGAGTGAGAGAAAGAAAGGAAGGAAGAAATAAAGGAAGCAAGGAAGCAAGCAAGCAAGCGAGTACTGGTGGCTCACACCTGTAATTCTAGCTACTCTGGAGGCTGAGATGAGGATTGAGGTTCTAAGCCAGTCCAGGCAGGAAAGTCTGTAAGACTCTTATCTCCAATGACACACACTCTCTCTCTCTCTCTCTCTCTCTCTCTCTCACACACACACACACACACACACACACACACACACATGAAACTGGAAGTGAAGCTGTGGTAGAGCTCAGTGGAATAGCACTAGCCTTGACCAAAAGAAGCTCAAGCCCTGAGTTCAAGCCCTAGGCTGGGCAGAGGAGGGAAGGAAGGAGGGAAGAATGGAGGGAAGAAGGAAGGGAGGGAGGGAGGGGGAGAGGGGGAAAGAAGGAAAGAGAGAGAGAGAGAGAATGTTTAGAGCTGTGGAGTAGAAGTGGATGCAAGGGTATGCATCTGGAGTCCTTTGCTGGGGAGGGCTGACTGAGCTCCGGGGTTTGACAGCAACCTGGCTATCACAAAGCCCACCTTAGAAAGAACTATAAAATAAACACACCGAGTAGCTGTGGGTTAAGGTGACAAATGATGGTCTGAACTAATTGCATTAGATGTATTATAAATTTCAACTGAACTTAACACTGAGGATCAGCAGTGGCTAACACAAGCCACCAGAAGAATTACTCATCTCAAAAGTTTCCCTCGTCCTGGTCCTGGGGCTTGAACTCAGGGCCTGAACACTGTCCCTGGGCTTCTTTTGCTCAAGGCTAGCACTCTACCATTTGAGAGCCACAGTGCCACTTCCACCTTTGTCTGTGTATGTGGTACTGAGGAATCAAACCCAGGGCTTCATGCATGCTAGGCAAGCACTCTACCACTAAGCAACATTTCCTGCCCCCTCAAGTTTTCTGAAGGCAAGGAAAATAAAGAAAGCTATTTTTCCTCTGAGCACAGTATCATTTGAATCCTCAGAAACAAACTCTACCATAACAAGAAGTAAATCAATCACAAAGCATGTTACTGAACACACAGACATCACGGCGTCTGGGTTTTTCTCTGCATTTTCTTTGTGCTGGCTGCAGCTGAAGGGACAGGCAGCTGCTTTCTTAGGGTTTTACTGTAAGAGGGATTGCAGGATCTGAACAGACCACAAAGCGCTAAAGGTGCTGCTCTACTCAAAGAGGTTCAAATAACACTTTCTGTAGCCTGAGTTGGAAAACCATCTGTTTGAAGGGAAAGTGCCAACTTTAAGCCTAGGTAAAAATATTGCATCAGAAAGAAAAATGCAATCTACCTGTCATCATCCCCTATTTCATAGAAAAATAGTCCCATGACTTTTCCTTCCAAGCAGGCTGGAAATGTTTCAATGGAAAAGTTTTGTCTTCTCACTATCTTCTCTAATTGAAAACTATGAAAGACATGTACCAATATTCATACGCATAGCATAGAAAAACCTCAAAAACTAGCAGTTAACGCTGGAGGAGGTGGGGACAAAGGCTGGTGAGTGAGGACCGCTTGCCCCTGTGTCCCTACAGGTAGAAATGGTCACCCATGGCAGTCAAAGCTAGCCATGCCTCCTGGTGGTGGGCCTGCTTTTCTAAGGGAGCCTAGCTCAGGAGGGGCCAGGGAGGCACAGGTCCTGTGTGCACACTTCCCCACTTCCTGAGACCCAGGTGGAGGATGGGCTCTGATCTGTGCCTTACTTATGATAATCAGAGTAGATTTGGCATGTCTTCCCCAAGGTAATGAAAGAGATACTTGTGATAGAAATTATTCTGCATTTCAGGTTTCTTTTCATGCAAAAAAAGTCATGTACACTGAATTACCATTAACCTTTGATCAGTGTGCTAGTTAGAAGCTATCATGGCTGGTATAAACCACCCCACACCAGATTAAAACTGTAGGAATATTTTAAAATCCATAGAGATGGAAGTGCCTGGGTGCTATGGATCTGGGATTGGGTACCCATGCTGTATGGTCTCAGGAGAATTTAAGATAATTGCTAGAGGGAGAGGGCAGAGATGGGAAGCCATGTTCCTAATCTGCTATTGACTGGAGCTGACACATCTTTGGGGGGAGAGGAGAGGCTGATCCTTTCATTTAAAGTGCCATTTAGAATACCACTCCAAATTCCAAACCAGTGGAATTCCAAACCACCTGCTACTCCTCCTGCGCAGGCCTGGTGAAGGCTCCAGCCTGGCTCCCTGGCAGCATGAGCACCCTGCGGCAGTGGGCATCAACAGGAGGCCGGAGGGCCGGGCAGCTGCAGGCAGAGCGGCGGCCGGGCAGTGCTGGGCAGCGCAGCTCACAGTGCGCAGGGGAAGGTCTGCTGCTCCCTCAGCACCGCCGTGGGAGGGTCAGGCCGCCGCGTCTGGGTGATTTTCTGTTTGGGGTTTTTCATATCTTCTTCCTCTTCGGTCTCACTCTCGCAGACGTGAACCACCACGCTGGGTGTGGACTCTGTCCCTGCGTGCAGTTCATATTTCTCCCCTGTGAGGGTGAAGAAGAAAGGGGCAAAGACTCACACGGGGGGCAGGAAGAACTAACTGTCTGGTCTCTAGGAAATACCATTTTAATTTTACAGTGAGGACTTAAATGCATCACTATATTCAATGTACATCATAGAAACATTGAACTATTACTTGAGGATAGGGGTGAAGGGAAAATGGGAGAGACCAAGGGAAGGGGTGACACTGATCAACTTGCATTGTACTCATAACCTTGCTGTACAAGTGCAGCACTGGCTGGCTCTTCAGTCTGGGAATTCAGACATCTGAAATCTGCTCTAATGTCTAAAAACACCAAGCCACTTCTCAACTGCCTCTCTCTCAAGTCCGCTACAGGAGACAGTCTGTGTTGGGCAGATAACCAGCAACAGCCAGCAGGGCATCAGCGTGTCAGGCTATCTTAAAGGATGAGAGAAGTAGAGAAAGGAAAGAGGAGGAAAATAAGAAACGAAGACATGGGAGGCAAGATCTGATGCCATGAATAATTCCTTGAAATATATTACAAGTGGTCGTCACCTGCTTGGTACCTGAAAGGCCAGGAGGGGAAACAACTTAAATTCACGGACTGCCTGGGTCAACTCCTAGTGCACTGTGTAATCCTTATAACCACACACAACAGGAAATAAAGAATAAACCTGGCTGAGAAAACCATGTCTAAGCAAGCTGCTGAGGCTCAGGTGGCCAGAAGACACCAGACTAGGATCTGTGCCCACCAGGCCAGAATCTGCTCTCAGGAAGAATCTGCTCTTGTCTAGACTGCGCCTGGTCTCACCACATTCTCCCCCTGATCATAGCACCGGCTCTGCCCAGATCACTCATGGCACTGGAGACAAACATAGGAAGGGGAGAAGTGGTTACCTGGCCCCAGCTTGGAGACAGCACAGAGTAAGTCGTAGTTGATCATGGGCACTGCATCTTCGCTCTGCTTCCAGCCCACTGGCGGGGATGAGGGCGGGGAGATGAGGAACTGTTTGGCAGGCTGCGGTGGCAGCAGGAAGGCCTTGCGCCGAGCCTCCCCTGCCGTCTGCACCTGCAGGAAGGACACAGCTGACTGGGTTTACTCATCCAAATGGTGATTATGTTTGGAGAGAATTACATTTCTCTTCAGTGCTCTAGGATTTCCTAGAAGGTGGGACTGGCTCTCTTAGCATACTGCACAGGGACCACACAGATCAAGTGCCGGCTCTACAAATACAAGTGAACAAAAGGGTAAGGGGATGCATGGAGGGACAAAGGAGTGAGTAGCTTTAACTTAGATGGCAAGTGCCCCCCAAGGATCCATGTGTGAAGGCCTTCAGGACACAGGCCCAGAGGGGTATCACGGGAACACACGGTTGAGGGGCAGCAGGACCCTAGGCTCTTCCCCTTCCCTTCCACATGCCTCTGCCATGATGTGCTGCCTTGCCACAGGTTCCAAAGCAATGGCGCCAACGCAGACCCAAGTCTCAACAACTGGGAGCCAAAGTTAACCTTCTCACTTTACAGGCTTTCTTTCAGACTAGCTGTGACAGTGGTAGAAGCATATTACTAGATTCTAATTCATGAGGAGTAAGAATAGTATTGTTACTTTAAACTCCATCGCCAAGAGACCACCAGGAAATGTATGGTTATCTTTCTTTCTTTCTTTTTTTTTTTTTTTGTCGGTCGTGGGGCTTGAACTCTGGGCCTGAGTGCTGTCCCTCAGCTCTTCAGCTCAAGGCTAGTGCTCTACCACTTGAGCTACAAAGCCACTTCAGGTTTTCTGGTGGTTTATTGGAGATAAGAGTTTCACGGACTTTCCTGCCCAGGCTGGCTTTGAACCGTGATCCTCAGATCTCAGCCTCTTGAGTAGCTAGGATTACAGGCCTGAGCCACCGGTGCCTGGCCCATATAGTTATCTTTCATTTGGAACGTAAGACAACAAACCTGTCTTGGTTCTCTTAAAAAGTGAAAGCAAGAGAAAAAAAAAAATCTTTTTGAAAATAAAAAAATGTATTTTATTCATGAGTACAGATTTAGTATCTACATTTTGTCAATTCTTTTGAGGAAAAAAAATTGTTTTCACAAAGAGCCAGGCACTTGTAGGATTATTCTAAGGGCCTACAGGGCCCTCTGCGTCTGATTTCTGAGCATTTTTACGCCCCCTCCTGGCCACATCTGGGACCTGCAGTGTCTTTTTCTTTTTCCACCAATCAATAAATAAAACTTCACATTTACAAGTCAAAGAACAAAACGTGCCACTCTCTGCTGACGAGTATTCACTCACAAAGCTACTGACAGCCTAACAGAGCGGGGAAGGGCAAGGTGGGGGCCCTGATTGGTACCTGTGCGAAATACAGCTTCAGCTTCTTCCCGTTGAAGTCAGTCTCGTGGAGTTCTATCCGTGCTCTGGCCGCAGCTTCGGGTTTGCTGAAATTTATCCTGACTCTTCTAAAGCTTTTAAATAACTGAAACGTGGCTTGGTCATCGTAAAGGGTAAACAGTGCTTCAAATCTCTCCTGTCCGGTGAGGAGCAGGAAGGAGGTGGTTAGGGAAGGAGCAAAGGTCACTTGCAGTTAACCAAAGGCAGCTGAAATCCCAGGTGAGCCTCGAGGCCTGTCACTCGCACGCGGACTGGCATCGAGGTCCACAGCAGCTGATTCTGTCCACTGGCAAGGCCAGTCTCTCCCCCAGTTACTTTCACTGTGGCTTCTTACTACTTTTTCTTAGAAATTAACATTTAGCCAGGCACTGGTGGCTCACTCCTGTAGTCCTATTACTCTGGAAGCTGAGATCTAAGAATGGTGGTTCAAAGCCATTCCAGGCAGGAAAGACAGTGAGATTCTTTTTTTTTGGGTCCGGTCGTGGGGCCTGAACTCTGGGCCTGGGCGCTGTCCCTCAGCTCTTCAGCTCAAGGCTAGTGCTCTACCACTTGAGCCACAGAGCCACTTCCAGTTTTTTTTTTCCTGCTTATGTGGTGCTGAGGAATCGAACCCAGGGCCTCATGCATACAAGGCAAGCGCTCTACCACTGAGCCACCTTCCCAGCCCGTCAGTGAGATTCTTATCTCTAATTTGTTACCAAAAAGCCAAAAGTGGAGCTGTGGCTCAAGTGAAAAAGCACCAGCCCCGAACAAAAAAGCCCAGGCCCTCAGTTCAAGTGCCAGGACAGGCAAATAAATAAATAAATAAACAGCAAGAGAAAAGAAAAGGAATTTAACATTTGACTACCATTGAATGTATCACCCAATTTAGGTGCATTCACTAATTTAGTTGTGGGGTTTTTTCCATTGTTTTGAGAGAGGGTCTTGCTATGTAGCCAAGGCTAGCTGTGAGCTAATCATCCCCTGCTTCAGCCTCCTGAAAGCTGGGATTACAGGTATGCACTACCCTGGCCAGCTTGGTTTCCTAGAGCCATAGTTCTTCTATTACAAAAACTCCACAATAAAATGTTCTTATTTCTTTTAGGTCTAAGACCAGCACGCTTTCACTCTGGCTGGTGCTCCACCAACTGAGACAGGCCTCCAACCCCTATACTAAAAATTTTATCTCAGGATTCATATTGGGCACTTGTCATCTCAAAGAGATAGCATTCTTTGGGAGTAGTAAAACTATATATAAACGTGTGTATATTTGTGAGCATAAACTACTAGTAGGCACTTTGAGAGAACAGAGCAGGAGAGAGGGAGAGCAATATTTGAGTTATCTCATGAGGCCGAGGGAAAGAAAACAAAAACAAAAACACCTATATCTGCCTCTTCTTTCATGCCAGACTATGCAGAACACTCGGAACTGTCCGCAGCTCCTCTGCCTGACCAGCCCTCCTGTTCCCTCTGGCCAGTCCCAGCCCCACAGCTCCTCTCCAACGCCACCATGTTCTCAGGAGAGCCTTTCTTGTACTGGGCTGTGACTCCATCTCCTTGATACCTCGGTGTATTTCCAAGTGTTTGTTAAGGCATGGAGGGTCCACATCATGGCCACCAACTGCTATCCCCTACCACAGGCCTGCAGGCCCCATGGTTCATGAGCTATAGAATGTGATTCTTGCTGTCCCCAAGCCGCTGGCACAGGGCCTGACACATCTTACTCGCCACAGTACGTGCAAAGTCACATCTATGAGCGCTGCCTTCTGAAGTCACTGGAAGGAAACCATCTGGAGCATTAACCAGAAAACTAAGGGCTACCAGTGGACTTTGGGAAAAACTCTCACTATGAAGAATGTTTAACACATGGCAGAATACTTTAGTGAGGTCTGGGGATATAGCTGAGGGTTAGAGCACTTGCCTAGCACACATGAAGTTCTGGGTTCCAGCCCAGTACCACAAAATGAAAACAATACCTCTAGGCTTTTTCAGACCTACAAGGTCATAATGGAATGTCCTCTTTCATAAAAACATACCCATATGCAAGCTTCTTTCCAGATAAATCATAAATAAAGAAGAGGAACCTCAAAAAAAAACCCGCAAATCATTTTCCCATTAACTTCTAGAAGGCAATGTAAGAAATATTAACTGACCCTGTCATCACACGGAAGCATGATCTGTTCTAACAGGCTGCATGGTATTAGCCTCAGGGAAAAGCCAGTTCCTTCTTTGGTAGGGAACAGGGAGCCAGGTGAAAAATCATGAGCTTTTCTTCAATTGCAGTCTCCAAAAATGAATGAATAAAAAATAGATTTAATAGGACTTAAGAGTCTGATAGAGCTGGTGCTGCTCAAACTCTGTGGCAGCCCAGCTCTACAGATGGGAAGCAGGCCTTCCCTTTCAGAGGCTGAGAGCTAGCTGCCCACAAAACCCTGAGCAAATACTGCTGTCAAGGGTACAGCATGCCCAGCCCTTGCATGTGCTTTCATTATCAGAAGCAGCTGCATTCCATCATTCATGCTGGAGAACTCCTCAACAGGAGAGACATTCTTGGGACTGTGTATCTGCTCTGTTTTGGTAACTGCTGTCCATCTCCTATTATATTTAGCAGTGAGACACAATGTCTCCTGGGAGAGCGTTCATTATCACACAAGGTAAGGAGAGTTTAGAATGCTAAGCTGCTATTTTCTGTCTAGTTTCTCCCTTGGCAGGGTGTGTGCTAGACATGGACAGGGTACCACTAATGGTATGGAGGCTGCAAACACTTTTATTGAGGTTATCTTGTCTACCTTTACAACTGGTCCTTTATGTCTGTTAGGGACCGAACCCCAATGCAGGGCTGGAGAGCCACCGTTTCAGAGTTAAGCCTGCAGATCACCAGTTTCTAGGGTGAGCATTTCCTGTCCTACTGAGATGGGAAAGACATGGCAGGCATGGCATCTTCCTGACACTTGGAGTAACTTTGGCTCCATGTGTCCTGGTTATGTTAGCACCCAGGATAGACTGGGATAGGAAGCAACTCATGTACCAAAGCACTTAGGAGAACCAAAGGGAGAAGACAGTCCTCTGGGTAGGCCTGTGAGCACTATGCAGAAATGGGTAGGGCCAAAGCCAAGCACTTCTATTTATAGCACTGTTTTGTTTTTGTGGTATTGAGAACTGAATCCAGGGACTCACATGTACCTAGCAAGTGTTCTATCACTTATGATGTGCCTCCAGCCATTTTGGGTTTTGTAATTTTGTTTGAGACAGGGTCTTGGTACCTTCTCCTGAGCTGGATACAAACACATGATCCTCTAGTCTCTGCCTCCTGAGTAGCTTGGATTATAGGTATAACCCCTGTGCCTGGTACAATGTTGGTTTTGTTTGTTTGTTTTGTCAGTCACAGAGTTTGAATTTACGGCCTAGGCACTGTCCCTGAACTCTTTTGTTCAAGGCTAGAGCTCTACCACTTTGAGCCACAGTTCCACTTCTGGTTTTCTGGTGGTTAACTGGAGATAAGAGTCTATGAACTTTGCTACCCAGGCTGGCTTTGAACCATGATACTCAGATCTCAGCTTCTTGAATAGCTAGGATTACAGGTGTGAGCCACCAGCACCTGGCTTTATTTTTTTAAGTGTAGTTTTGATATGATGTGACTGTAGGTTTTAATCTATGAACTCCCTGAGATATTGAACCTTCTGATTGAAATAAAATATTCACAGCAGACAAATATGTATAGTAGACAAAATTTGTGGAGTACTGATTTTCAAATATATCTTATCAGTTGCGAACTGATTTTTTTTTGGGGGGTGGGGGGGATGGAGGACCGGTCCTGGGTCTTGAACTCAGGGCCTGGATGCTATCTCTGAGGTTTTTTTTTTTTTTTTTTCCAGTCTGAGACTGAGATTTGAACTCAATTTGATACTTTCACTCACTGGCTGACATTCTACCACTTAAGCCACATCTCCAACTCCTTCTGAGATTTTTTTTTTTTCTCAAGGCTAGCACTCTACCACTTGAGCCACAGCTCCATTTCCACCTTTTCTATTGATTAACTGGAGATGAGAGTCTCACAGACTTTCCTGCCTGGGACAGCTTTGAATCATGATCCTCAGATCTCAGACTCCTGAGTAGCTAAGATTATAGGCATGAGCCACTGGTGCCCGGCTAGATTGTTATTCTTTTAAAATACAATAAAAAGGTCTAAGTAACATACATTTTCTGTCTCATGCCAGAGGTGAGCAAAAGGCAGGACATGCACCTACCTTCTGCTCTTGGACCTCAAACACTGCTTCATGGACGCTGCAAGCAAAAAGTGAGGTGGGCAGATCGCTGAAATCCATCATCTCTTCCAAATCCTCTTCATTTTCACCAAAAACCATCTCCTCCTCCTCTTGGTCACTGCTACAGAGATCTGACTGGCTGTCATTCCAAGACTTCATGGTGTCCCTTAGCATTGTCCGGTTTTCAAACTTCAAGGTATCTCCTGTGATGGAAAGAAAAGAACAGAGATCAGCCCTTGAAGCCATATCATGTTGCCATCAGTCAGTTTCTCAGGACAGCAATTCATCAAGTGCAGCCATTTTATCCAAGAATGATCCATCAGCATTTAAATTAACTTACTTCAGTCCTCCTAAATGAATTTTTTTTTTTTGTTTTGTTTTTTGTTTTTGGGTCCGGTAGTGGGCCTGAACTCTGGGCCTGGGCGCTGTCCCTCAGCTCTTCATCTCAAGGCTAGTGCTCTACCACCTGAGCCACAGCGCCACTTCCGGCTTTTTTCTTTTTGCTTATGTGGTGCTGGGGAATCGAACCCAGGGCCTCAAGCATGCAAGGCAAGTGCTCTACCACTGAGCCACCTTCCCAGCCCCCTAAATGAATTCTTTATTGACAAGTTTGATTGGTGTAAGAATATTTTATGGGGTAATGACATAGTAAAAAAAAAAAGAGGATAGAATCAAATAAGATGACATCAATATGTACACTAGTTTACAAGCAGTAGGAGGAGAATGTGAGCCAGAACAGCCTTCACAGATTTGTTTTGCCTCCTGGGCTGCAAACACTGGAAGTGGCTCAGGAGAATGAAACCCACACACTTTGCTCACCATCTGCACCCCGGATTACGGTCTGTGAAGCACTCACTTTGCCTCTTGTAACCAACTTGTTCTTTTGGAGTACACTTTGCAAGAGCAAGTCACTTGGAACCAAAAGTTCTTCCCAGAGACAGTCTGTGTGAATACGTATTAGAAATATTGACAGCAGGCAAAAGCTGACAGAGAAGACAATCCAAATGACTTTTTTTTTCTGATCTTCCAAACATATGTAATTTTAAATCCTGATTGTAAGAAGCAAAACCTCTCCTCGTGTCTGTGGACGTTCTGAGAGTTCCTGCTGGACATGGAGGAAGGAGCCACCGTTCTTCACTGTCCTGCTCCAGGAGGGGCTACACCCGCCCTTCCTTCTCCACCAGCTCCTCCTCTTCTGCAGGTGTGCATGCTCAAGATCCCCACATCTGGATGCTACAGGTGGCTCCTCCACCCACCTGCCTCCCGTTCACCTTCCCTACTCTCATCTGGAAAGAGGAGGGCATTCTTGCCCACTGCCAACTCCAGTCATCCTTAGCTTCGTCACTCTGGGCTTCCGTCCAGTTGGGTTTCTGCCACCACCTCTTGGCTCCAAGCAGCCTCATTAGAAGTGGCAATAGTTTCCTCCCAGTTGGAAGCTAATTCCAGGTGTGAGTCTGCCTGCTGCACCTGTGCCGGCTGCCCACTGTCATCCCAGGCCTCTCTGTGCTCTGGCTCCTCTTCCTCCCCTTCCTCCTTTCCCCTTTACAATCATGTCTCTGAGGATCCTTACTTGACTCGGACGGTCTGATTCACACTTCTTGGTCCTCAGCTCACTTCCAGCTCCCCTGTACCCCTCGTGCTAATGCTGCCCCATACCATACAGTATCCTCCCTTGTTAAGCTAGAGGATGTACTAAAGCCAAGGGGGTTGAGGATGTATTAAAGCCAAGGGGGTTGCAGGAAGCAGAATCTTGGCCATTCCTAAGGATAGGCAGTTTGGAAAAATTGCTGTCCCCAAGAGACTCAGTTGCCTCTGGGCCTTTCCTACCCATATACATAACCACTGATAGCAAACTGATGCACTCAGAAGAGGGCTGGGGCCTAGCTCAGCGGTACAGCACCTGTCCAACATACACAGGCTGTTCATCCTCAGCAATGAACAGATATTGACCATCCCCATCCCCATCCATCCATCCATCCATCATCCATTCATCCATCCACCTATCCATCTATTCCTAGACTCTGTCCCTTTCCCTCAATTCTAGACATACTAGTAGCTTTCTGTCTTTCTTCCTCCCTCTCTCTCTGGACACAGAATCTCACTATGTATCCCAGGGTAGAGATGGCCTTAAACTCCTGATGCTCCTGTTTCTACCTCCCTGGTGCTGGGATTACAGACGTGCACCACATGCCTGGCATTTATGTACTTGGTTAGCTCAGGAGTCCTACAATTTTTTTCTTGCCAGTCCTCGGGCTTAAACTTTGGGCCTGGGCATTGTCCCTGAGCTTCTTTTGCTCAAGGTGGCACTCTACCACTTGAGCCACAATGCCACTTCCGGCTTTTTCTGTGTATGTGGTACTGAGGAATCAAACCCAAGACTTCATACATGCTAGGCAAGCACTCTTACCACTAAGCCACAATCCTAGCCCCTACAATCATTTTTATCAGTTATGGGTTTTTTTTTTTGGGGGGGGGGGTCCGGTCGTGGGGTCTGAACTCTGAGCCTGGGGGCTGTCCCTCAGCTCTTCAGCTCAAGGCTAGCACTCTACCACTTGAGCCACAGTGCCACTTCCAGCTTTTTTCTTTTTTCTTATGTGGTGCTGAGGAATTGAACCCAGGGCCTCAGGCATGCAAGGCAAGCGTTCTACCACTGAGCCACCTTCCCAGCCCCCAGTTATGGGGTCTGAACTCTGGGCTGGGCACTGACCTTAAGCTCTTCAGCTCAATGCTAGTTCTATACCACTTGAGCCACAGAGCCACTTCCAGCTTTTTGTTTATGAGGAATCAAACCCAGGGCTTCATGCATGTTAGGCAAGCATTCTACCTCTAAGCAACCTTCTCAGTCCTATCTTACTGATTTAATTAGATTCTTGTGCCAGAATCTCCAGTATGCATAGGCTGGCAGGAAACAGTATCTCACTGTGGCTTTCATTATAAACTTTTCCTTTAGATGAAGATGTCAGAGTTTGAGCTTGCACAGCACTTTGCACAGTTTTCTCCTCTATATTTATGAGTATTTGCTCACAAATCACTTGTAGCTCCCAGACTGGGAGTGCCTTTGAATCCCCAGGCCCTGTCATGGTGTCCTGCCAGATGCTTAACAAGGCCTACTGACTAAAGCCAGACAGCACTGAGCACCAGCAGGCACAAAGGCAGTGCAACTCTGCATGGATTAGAGGCCAGCTCCTGAAAGTGGCAATGGAGGGGATGGTGAGTCTTGGATGAACAGTTTTAGCAGGAAAACGGGGTACCCTGCAGGCAAAACTGGCAGGGTAGAAGCAAGTCAAAAAGGCAAAAGGATTAGCATCCCAGGGCCCAGGCCCTGCACCCAGCTCTGTGAGCTGCATGCCGTGGTGTATTGCTTGTAGGAGCAGGCAGGAGACCAAGTCAGAAAGGCAGGTGTGGCCCAGGCTGTCACGACAGCAGGGCTACAGTTTTGATGTAAAAACCAGTCAGTATCACACGTGATGGTAGGTTTTCACACTGGGCAATGACAGAACCAACCCAATTTAACTTTTAGTACCATTACAAGTAGGCTGTCTAAACCAGGGTACTGGTGGCTCATACCTGTAATCCTAGCTACTCAGGAGGCTGAGATCTGAGGACTGAGGTTCAAAGCCAGCCCAGGTAAGGAAAGTCTGTGAGACTCTTATCTCCAATTAACCACCAGAAAACCAGCAGTGGTGCTGTGGCTCAAGTGGTAGAGTGCTTGACTTGAGCTGATGAACATGGGGTCAGCACCCAGGCCCAGAGTTCAAGCCCCACCACCGACAAAAAGAAAAAAAAAAGGTAGACTAAGACGTGGGGATGTGGTCCAAGTGGAACAGTGCCAGATGAACAAGCACAAGGTTCTAAGTTGAATTCTTACTATCACCAGAAAAATAAGTAAATAAACATAAGCTGTCTTTATATGGTATCTTTTAGAGATATGAATGTTTTTACTTCTCCATTTAAAAGAGATGAGAAAAATTCTGGGGCTGGTAAGGTGGCTCAGTGGTACAGCGTTTGCCTTACATACATGAGGCCCTGGGGGTTCGATTCCTCAGCACCACATAAGCAGGAAAAAAAAAGCCGGAAGTGGCACTGTGGCTCAAGTGGTAGAGTGCTAGCCTTGAGCTGAAGAGCTGAGGGACAGCGCCCAGGCCCAGAGTTCAGGCCCCAGGACCAGCAAAAAAAAAAAAAAAAACTGTGTCCAGTTTTGGAGGCTGGTGAATTGGGGAGATATGAATGATGGAGTGAAATTAGAGTTAGTTCACACTCTGTGTGTGTGTGTGTGTGTGTGTGTGTGTGTTGCAGAGGATCAAACCCAGAGTCCTGTATACTGCTAATCACACACTCATACTGCTAATCACACACTGTACCATTGGGCTATGCCTCAGACTTTTTTTTTTTGGTGTCAGTACTGGGGCTTGAACTCAGGCCAGGGCACACTCCCTTAGCTTTTTTCATTCAGGGTTGGGACTCTAATCATTTGGAACACACCTCCACTTCTGGCTTTTTGCTGGCTAACTGGAGGTAAGAAACTCATAGATTTATCTGCCCTGACTGGCTTCAAACCTCAACCCTCAGATCTCAGCAAGACTTATAGCCATGAGCCACTGCATCTGGCTCCAGTCAACTAACCCCGGCCCTACCTGGGACTCAAACTCTGGGCTTATACACTGTTCTTGAGCTCCTTTTTGCTCAAGGCTAGCGCTCTACTACTTGAGCCATAGTGCCACTTCTGGCTTTTCCAGTGATTAAATGAAGAGTCTCACGAACTTTGCTGTCCGAACTGGCTTTAAACTGCAATCCTCAGATCTCAGCCTCCTGAGTAGCTAGGATCACAGGCTTGAGCCACCAGCACCTGGCTTTTCAGTCAACTTTTGATGGGACTGTTTTGTTTCAAGTTCCCTCTTCCAACAAAATATACAGCACAGAAGCAATCTTTTACCTGTCTGAAAAATAAATTCTTACATTACACATTCACTTCCTGTTTTGTACCTTGAATTTGGGTGACATTTTTTTTTCAGAAACTTCAAACAGAAGTTATAAGACTTGCACAAGGAACTCCTGAATGTCTGCTTAGTTACCCATTTGCTCATTTGTTTTATCCATCTTTTCTGACATATTCATACATATTTTTAAAAAGGACTATATGCATATATACATATATGTATCCCTTTATTCCAAAATTACATCATTGTGTAAGAACAGATCATTTTCTTACATAACCCGAAGTACCAACGCCAGCAAATTTAGCCAAGTGCTGGTGATTCACACTTGCAACCCTAACTACTTAGGAGGATCAAGTAGGATCAAGGTTAAAATCCAGCCCAGGAAGAATAGGCCTTGAGAGTCCATCTCCAAAATAACTAGCAAAAAGCTGGGCTGGAGGTATGGCTCAGGAGTAGAGCACCAGTTATGAGCAAGAAAGCTGAGTGAGGCACTGAGTTCAAAGACACTGAGTTCAAGCGCCAGCAAACCTCTTGCCTCCCCCCAGCAAATTTAACAATTAATAGTTATCCCAACAATGTCTTCAACAACAATTTTTCTTTCAAAGTTTTAAAATTACCCTTCAGTTATTTGCATTCCCCCTGCAAGATATTTCACTCATCTTTATATTCCAGTATTGCTGCATTTCCTTCACTTAGACAGGTCTGTTTAAAAAAGGACTGGTGGCTGCCAACAAGTTTAAGCAGTGTTATCATATACCACCAAGATTCAGGCTCCAAAGTCAGTCTTAGATTTGAGCACTGACACCTCAGCACTCTACATTAGGAAAATTATTTTGCCATTCCCCATCCTTAACTATAAAATGATATAACAATAGTCCTTGCCCAATAAGGATATTGGAAGACTTAAATGAGAAATGACACTGAAATTAAGTGAGAGTCACTCATGAAGCTGAGATCTGGAGGAACACGGACAAAGTCAGTCTGTATAGAAAAGTCTAAGAGACTATCTCCAAGTAAGCAGCAAAAAACCAGGCTGGAGGCATGGCTCAAGTGGTAGAGCACCAGCTGTGTGCAAGAAAGCTTAGTCAGTGCAAAGCCCCAAGCTCTAGTCCTGGTACCAACAAAATATTTATAAACAATGTTAGATGGGAAGAGGCAATGGTGCCTTTTTATAGGTCTTACAGAATTTTATGTCATGCATATAGTTATCAGAGTGATTGCCAATTTAAAAAAAATTATGCCAACAATGTTAAAAATTTACTAACAAAAATGTTTTTGCAGGCTGGAAAGATGGCTCAGTGGTAGAGCACTTGCCTCGCATGCATGAAGCCCTGGGTTCAATTCCTTAGCACCACATAAGCAGGAAAAGCTGGAAATGGCACTGTGGCTCAAGTGGTAGAGCACTAGCCTTGAGCTGAAGAGCTGAGGGACAGTGCCCAGGCCCAGAGTTCAGGCCCCATGACTGACAAAAAAAAAAAGTTTTTGCTGTACTGGAAGGCATGGTTTCATAACTTTCTGATATCATAAATGCAGTCCAATTTGAATAGAGAACTACGTAAGGAGATCATAAAAGGCAACTTGGTGCTACTTAAAAGGGATCTTTGGTTTGATTACAGCACAGAAGGAAATGACAGAGGTGTACTGGACCTCCGTGGCTACTACAGGAGTTGCTGCTTGCTGACACTGTCTTACTAGAGCACAGGCTCCCGCAGCTGACCTGGGAAAATCCTGGCCCAGAAGAAAAGGCTCAGCCCTCACACTTTAGCTTCCCTATGCAAAGGTCCGAGCTAATCAGGGCTCAGTATCATGCTTAACCTAACTGTGGCCGCAGCTGGCTTCTGGCAAATAAGTCCTTCATAGAAACAGCAGATGAGTGGAAAATCTCCCAGGAGCATAACCATCTGCTCTGCTCTGACCAGGAAATCATCAAGCAAAACATCAAGTACGTGGGGGAAAGGCAGATTCTCTCTCCTCCAGGATTGTTTAAAAACCATTTTAAAGAAGATAATATGCTTCTCAATTTGGAGGACATGTTAAGACTTGATCCAGATGCATTTGTATTTTTTATACATTCAAAAGGCTACAAGAATACTGGAAGTAAATGTGTACTTTGTTTGAATTTATAATTTAGACTTTTTTTTATGGAATGCTTCACGAATTTGAGTGTCATCCTTGCGCAGGGGCCATGCTAATCTTCTCTGTATTGTTCCAATTTTAGTATATGTGCTGCCGAAGTGAACACTTGTCTTTTGTTGTTTTTTTGTCGGTCATGGGGCTTGAACTCTGGGCCTGGACGCTGTTCCTCAGCTGTTCAGCTCAAGGCAAGCACTCTACCACTTGAGCCACAGCGACACTTCCGGTTTTCTGGTGGTTTACTGGAGATAAAAATCTCACAGACTTTCCTGCCCGGGCTGGCTTTGAACCGTGATCCTCAAATCTCAGCCTCCTGAGTAGCTAGGATTACAGGAGTGAGCCGCCGGCGCCCGGCTTAGACTAAGCACTCAAGCCTGACCCTATGGGAGTTCTGAATGCCCATCATGCAGCCTCTATCTCCCATCTTCTCCTCATTCACCATTTGCAGGTCAAATTTGACCAGTTTTAAAAATAAACAAAAACCAGCTAGGCACCAGTGGCTTATGCTATTCAGAAGGCTGAGGTCTGAGGACCACAGTTTTGAGACAGCCCAGGCAAGAAAGTGCATGAGATTTATACCTCCAATCAACCCCCCTGAAAGCTGAAAATAGATTTATAGCTCAGATGTAGGATGTTAGCCTTGAGCATAAAAACTCAGATACAGTGCCTAGGCCCTGAGTTCAAGCTCCAGAACTGGCACATACACACAAAAATAAATAAAAACCTTGGGGCTACAGTAAATAATTTTTGAATTGTGTGTTTTCATGATTCATACCCTCTTTTTAATGATAATCTAAAATTTGTTCTACGTCTAGGGTTTCTGCTCTACCAGGAGTAACATGTTGTGTGTTTTGTTTTTTTTGGTGCTGGACTGTGGTTTGAACTCAGGAACTTAAATCCTCCTTTAGCTTGGGCTCAAAGCTGAAGCTCTTCCACTTGAACTATACCTCCATTCAGGCTTTTTACTGGTTAGAGACCAGCAAATGAACTCTTTTATTTAGGTTAGTTTCAAACCACAATCTGATGATCTTAGCCTCTGGACTGGCTAGGATAACAAGCATGAGTTACTAGTGCAGTACATAACAGGGGTTTAGCATGGAGAAAAGGACAGAAATAACCAATGACTGGTCAGAACATCATAGGACAAATCACCGGCTTCAAGAAGAGATAGAAGGAGAGCTGTAGAGACTGGTAATATTCGCTCTGCAGTCTGTAATTCATTTCCATCTAATCTCTGTTCCAGAGCAGAGTGACCCTCGGCCTGAGGCATTTACCTTCTGTGTGTGTGTCTAAGCAACAAACAACATTAGAGACCTGGCTATTCCACAGGCTGCAGACACCCCATTTTTCCTATTTTGCTTGTTTTCTGTAGAACATACAAAAACCGGTTCTTATTTGTTACTCTAATGCTCTCAATTATGGGGTGGGTGGGTCCCACTGTTTAAAACAATGAAACGCCTTCCTTGGGAAACGGTTTGCCAAAGAAGTCAAATGCAAAGCGGAAGGCCAGGCTTTTTCAAACGCCCCGAGGCGTTGGGTCTTCCCGCAGGCTCCCCACGCCCGCAGTCCATCCTCGAACCCCCAAAGGCAGGACCCCCACGGAGCCCCGGCGCCGCAGTCACAGCCCGACCGCACCGAGGCACCGGCCGGCCGACACCTGGTCAGGGGCTGGCGGCGGCAGCCACAGGTGCGGCGGCGCCGGCCGCAGCGGACGGGTTCGGGCCCCGGGCCCTCCGCCAGCGCCGGGCCGCGCACAGCCCCGGGGTGCGGCTTCGGTCCTCACCCCGGCTGGGGCCGCGCGGCGGGGAAGCGACCCGGACGCGGCGCCGAGGGCGGACGGAGGGAAGGGGACGGCCGGGCCGGGCCGGGCCGCACCGAGGGGACGCGGGGCGCAGGCGGGGGGCGGAGGGGCCGGGCTCCCACCCCCGGCCCTGCTGCCCTCGGCCCAGGTGATCCCTCGGCTTTCCAGAAAGTGCCGGAGAAGGTGGGGAGGGTGGGGGGGTATGTGCGGGGAGGGGGGGGGGGAGGGCAGTTTTCCAGGACGCCTGCTCGATGGCAGCCCGATGCGGCCCCGGGCGCATCCCCGACGGCCGAGGCAGCGGCTTTAACTTTTCGGGCCTCGCCGAGCAGCCGGGCGCCGGCCGCACCCGCGAACCCGGGACTCACCTGCGCGCTCCCGGCTTGCAGGACGGAAGTGAGGGGGGGGGATGCTGCGCGGCCTGGGGCGGACGGAACCGCGGGGGCCCCGCAGCCCGCCACACCCTCGACCCCGGTGGGAGCGGCGGGGGAACGCGGGCGGCGACTGGGACCGAACCCGGCGGCCGGCGTCGCGCGCTCCCGAGCCCGCCCGCGCGCCCCCGCCCTCGCCGGATCCCCGCTCCTTCGGCGGCGCGCCGCGCAGGCGCACAGGCCGGGGCTCGGGGGCGCGCGCTGGCGGGAGCGCGCTCCGGGTGGAGGTCCCCCGCGCACGCGCGCTCGCTCGCCCGCCCCTCCCTGGGTCTCCTCTCCGCCTGTGAGTTGGCTGGGCCGCCGCACGGGGTCGGGGCTTTCTGTGTCCCCGAAAACGGGATCGTAGGCCACCGTCTGGTCTCCCACCCTGGCTGGAAGTAATTCATCTGCTCTAGCCGCTGGCCCACAGTCACTGGTGACAAGAAGAATGAGCTGGAACGGTATCAACCTTTGCTCAGGGCCGGTTATAACGTCCACCGCACGCCACTTGTCACCCGGTTCAGACCAGGAGGTTCCCGGACACCTTGGACTCGGCCCCCGGCCGACGTTGTGCCCTCTCATCCTCCGTCTCTCTGGTCCCTGGAGCCCCAGGACACAGTGGGACATATTATGCCTGTTTTGCAATCGGGAGGAACAAGGGTGGAAGAGTCCTGTGCAGAGATGGGTAGAGGTGGGCCATGCACTTGTATGGGCAGGTGCAATGGGAAGATGCTCCACATAATTGTTTGCAAAGCACCCAAGTCCAGCCTGGAAGGGACCGGGTGTGGCTTCTCTCAGAAGGGAAAGGGATGCAGAGCAGGAAAGACACTCAGAAGACACTCATAGGGAACCCAACAAAGTGAAGATCAGAGCCAAGGAAGCATTGTAGTCACAAAGCACCTGGTCATGGGGTGGGAACGAGGAGTAACGTGTAGCACACTTTTAATCGCAGCTAGATTGTGTGTGTGTGTGTGTGTGTGTGTGTGTGTGTGTGTGTGCGCGCGCGCGCGCGCGCGCGCACATGCTAGTACTGGGGCTTGAACTCATGGCCTGGGTGCTGCCCCTGAGCTTTTCTGCTCAAGGCTAGTGCTCTAGTGCTTGAGCCACAGCTCCACTTCCAGGTATTTTGGTGGTTAATTGGAGGTAAGAATCTCATGGACTTTACTGCTTTGGCTGGCTTTGAACTGTGATCCTCAGATCTCAGCCCCCCCCCCCCCCCCCAGTAGCAAGGATTATAGGCATGAAGCACCAGTGCTGGGTGACTTCCAGCTTTTTGATGGTTAATTGGAGATAAAAGTCTTGTAGACTTTCCTGCCTGGGCTGGCTTCCAATCTGGATCCTCAAATCTCAGCTTCCTGCGAAGCTTGGATTACAGGCATGAGCCACTGGCACCCAGCACAGCTACATTTAAACTACAGAAATGGGTGGGATTAGGACTCTAGCTGCTCTTATGGCTGACACCCCCCACCCCCACCCCAAGCATGAGTTCAGAGAAATGTCCAACAGACCAGTTTCTCCTTCTGTCTTTGCTGCTCCCACCTCTGCAGCCCCTGCAGACTTAACTAAGTTCTTTACTTCCACTCATTGACTGGTATATGTGGAGAGCCCCAACTTTGTCAAGATGGTCAGTTTTCCTTCTCTAATGCAGCAAGAGGACGTTCTTAGATGAGATGGGTTTGGGAATTGCTTAGAGTTCTGTACCCTTGCCTAGGGGTTCCCAATGCCAGGGCACAGAAGGGGCTCTGAGCACTCCTAAGATAAAAGCCTGGCTTAGCCCTTTGTTTAACTCAGTTTCCCTTAGGCACAGTTAGGGGTTGGATTGCAAGGAACAGGCCAGAACAGATCTGCCACCAGAGAGCTCAGGGTAGCAGATCATGTTATGTATGTGTAAAGGAAGGGTCTTGGGGACATTTGCAAAGGATTTGAGTGACAAAACAGAAAAGGAGCAATCCTCCCTATGTGGGTCAGAAAAGGCATCACAGTTTTGTGTTTATGTGGATAAGAGTTTCAAAGATAAAATAGCTTGTAAAGAGCATTGCATAAGCTGGGCGCCGGTGGCTCATGCCTATAATCTTAGATACTCAGGAGGCTGAGATCTGAGGATCATGTTCAAAGCCAGCCCAGGCAGAAAAGTCTGTGAGACTCTGATCTCCAATAAACCACTAGAAAACTGGAAGTGGCGCTGTGGCTCAAGAGGTAGAACACTCGCCTTGAGCTGAAAAGCGTAGAGACAGCACCCAGGCCCAGAATTCAAGCCCCATGACTGACCAAAAAAAAAGCAGTGCATAGAAATAATAGCCCAGAGACAGCACAGGTAATATAAATGCCTAGGACTGGTCTTTTTGGTCAATATTATAAAGTCTTATTCAAGATTCCCCTCTTTGTTTTTGCACACTACACAAACTGGGTTAAGCAAAGAATGGAATTCATTGAATGATAGAAAAAAAGCTTAGGGTTTCAGGAATGGCTAGATCCAAGGGCTTAAAGGATGGCCTCAGTACTGAAGTGTTTTCATTTCCTAACTCTGTTTTCCTGTGTGTTGACTTTTCATAGTCAGGCTGCAATGAGATGGCAGAGTGGCAGCTTACAAATTCAGATCACGTCTTTGCTCAGCACTGTCATCAGATGTCCCAGACAGTATCTCATTGGTCTAATTCAGGTTACTTTCACATCACCAAACAAGGGTCTTGAGAAGGGGCATGGACTATTCCAACAGTTCAGGCTGGGGTCATACATTTGATCTCATGGACTGAGAATTGGGGAGAGGTGGCTTCCTCAGGGATTTTCTTTTTTTTTCCCCTCTTTCTCTTCCTCTCTCTCTCTCTCTCTCTCTCTCTTTTTTTTTTGGTCAGTCGTGGAGCTTGAACTCTGGGCCTAGATGCTGTCCCTCAAGCTCTTCAGCTCAAGGCTAGTGCTCTACCATTTGAGCCACAGCGCCACTTCCGGTTTTCTGGTGTTAATTGGAGATAAGAGTTTCATGGACTTTCCTCCCTGATCTCAGCCTTCAGAGTAGCTAGGATTACAGGTGTGAGTCACTGATATCCAGCTGCGTGAGGGATTTTGTATTGCTCCCTCCAGATCTATTTTTCTTCCTACTTGTGCCTCCTGAGGGCAACCTGCATGCCCTGCTTTCCTAGGTTGCTGGGCCTCTTGCTCACTGTTAAATCCCTCGAGAAGCCGACACTGGGAGCATGTGGGGTCTGGTGGAGGGGGGAAGGCCATCGCTTGCCATAGGTTGACATATATTCATGGAAGTCTCTGTCCCTGACCTTCTTCCTGCAGCTCCCCTCACCCAACTCTGGTAAAACTCTTGTCTCTCTGTCCCTAGAGGTGACAGTGTTTCCCCTCTGTGGCCAGCTTGGGTGTGCCGCACCATGATCACTCCTGCCCCTTTGCCTCCACACACCTGTGTGTACCACCTTGGCCAAGTCTTCATGAGGTACCGTCTGATGGAATCCAATGGGGCATGTTTGCCAGAGGAAACCCAAACATGCACTAGCAAATGGAAGGGATGTACAGAGTGGGTGATAGCAAGACAGTGGTCATGCTGGTCTGAGAGAGGTAAGACAAGACAGCCATGATTGGAGATTCCAAACCAGGAAGGTAGAAATAGGAGCGAGAGGAGGACCGTAGGCTGAATCACAAAGATAAAGCTAAGGGCATCTACTGATGGGTGACCTGGAAATGGTCAACAATAGAGAGCCTATGTGCTTGAGACTCGGCAGAGGGAGTCAGGAGAGGGCGTGGTGGTCCCTGGATTCAGGGCTTAGATGGAAAACTGAATAATACTGTTACCGCCCAGGATCTACCACCTCAACAACGAGCAACTTGAGAGCCAGAGGGTAGGAATGGAATCTTCCACGTCCTTCCTTCCCCTTTCCCTCGGTGTCCAGCGAGGCGAAGGGCATGACGAATGCTTGTGATGAATGAACCAGACATTGGTTCACCTTTCTACCATGCCTTCCCCTTCCTCATTGCTGGGAGTTTGGGTTACAGGCGGAGAGGAAGAGAGAGTGAAAAGGAACCCTGGTGGCTCAGTCCATTGAAACCGGAGCTAAGGTCGATAAGCGTGTTGCTGTCCTAAAAAACTCCAGTGGAGCCGGTCAGCTGATGCCAGGGACCTGAGCAGCACAGCGCAGGCAGGTGACTTCATTGCAGATTTTCGCGTTCTCATTTGTGTAGGAAGCATCCTTCTTAGGTGTATGCCAGAGGCAATCGAGGAAGCAGAAGATCGCTCCCTCCCATTCATGAGTTGCTGCTAGAATACAAAGGAACGTGGTTTCTTTTGGAAAACCTCCAGTGCATCAGGCTAAATGTACACCTCATTCCGTTGTATGTACTCATGAGAAATGTAGGCAGATATCCACCAAGAGAAAGGAGGGCCTTGCACAAGGATGCTTGATATCTTTATTCATAACATCCCAACTGGAATAACCCAAACATCATCAATAGAAAAACAATGGCATATTCAGACAGTGGAAGATTAAATTATATTGAAGAAGGAACAGCCAGGTTCAGTGGCTCTCACTTGTAATCTCAGCTACTTGGAGGTGGAGATTCAAGGCTAGCCTGGGCAAAAAAATTAGTGAGACCCCCCATCTCAACAGATATCTGTTCTCTGAGATACATAGGAGCATAAAGAGGAGGATCATAGCCCAGCCTAACTTGGGCATAAAGCAAAAGAATTGGAGGTGTGGTGTATCAAGTGGTAGAGTGCCTACCTAGCAAGCACTAGACTTTGAGTTCAAATCGAGGTATCACAACAAAATAACATGAAACAAATGAAACATCCCCCATCCCCCCCGCCATGGACTACTGATAAATAAAACAATCAGCCTGAAAGAAAATTGTCAGTCTGTCTGGGAACCAGTGCCTTATACCTATAATCCTAGCTACTCAGGAGGCTGAGACCTGAAGATCACAGTTCAAAGCCAGCCTGGGCAGGAAAGTTTGTGAGACTCTTATCTCCAATTAACCATCACAAAGCTGGAAGTGATGCTGTGGT